GAAAAGGCGGGAATATACAAAGAGTTGAAGTCAGCGCTGTGTAAGTGTCCCTTTCTTTTGGTGTGACTGTGAACGTTGTCCTAGTGTTTGTTACGGGTGCGCTGTGTCCTCGTGCGTCTTGGTAAACGCAAAGTAGGGCTGGTGCGGGTTCATAATAAAAAAAATGCCGAAGTTAAAAATTAATTCACAGCAATGAATGATAATAATTAATTCTAATACGAAATCAGTGATAAATGCAATGACTGGCCAGGCATAGATTCTTGGTATGTGGATAGGTTTTCCACAGTTTAAGCAATCTACAGGATATCACAAAAAAAATTACAGGGTCTTTTTTTTTACCGCAAGAATAAATTAAGCATCGCCGAACGCTCATTTGCCGCCTAAAGGCAGTGCTAGAGGCCACAACCAGATGTCAAAGTTCAGCCCGATCCGATACCTTATTCACAAGTTATAAGTGATTTTCTGAGAAGTTCATTGGGAAAATGGCGGCCGGCGGAGTTTTCGAATACATGGTGCTCTATGGGCACCAGAAACCGAAAACGGGCAAAAATGGGCTTCATTTTCCAATTGAAATTTTCAGAAAATCACTTACAACTTTTGGATAAGGTGTCCGCTCGGGACGAAACGTTGGCATCTGGTTGTAACCTAGCGCTTCCTTTTGGCGGAGAATGAGCCAAAAATGAAAAAAAGATGCAAACGGGTAGATTTTGACATTGTGTAAAATATAGTGTAAGCACTCACATTGTACTTAAGAATGAAGCGGCCCTACATTTTTCACTAGCGTTGAGTGTATCGAAAGTTAAGTGTGCATCAAAGGCTAAAGCTTGTACACTTATACTGCTCAGGCCATTATGTTTGGATGCTCATAGTAATTTATTACCCTCACATTTGTTGTAAGCCCTCTCCTCATTGCTTACAACAGAAAGAAGGAAACATTCTAAGTTTGGGTTAATAGAAAAACTCTACCTGATGACAGCTACCAATCATCTCGGCGCCGATTATGAGTATTCACTGCATGCTAACGGTTGCGTGCTTAGAACGAGTTTTTCCCACGTGATTTCATACGATCGCAATTGTTCTTGACAAACAACAATGTTTAGTCAGGCAAGTGGGCATATGTGATGCTTTTAACATTTTGTATTGATTGTGGCGCACGTGGCAAGTTGCATAGGCTTTTTTACAATCCGCAAAATAGAATGCTCCTGGGTTACCTTGGTCTCTAATAATTCATGTAGCACACAAAAGAACACGAACTGAATCGCAGTGGGAAACGAAAATAAATGATGATAAACAATCGTGTAATCACGCGAAAACTGAGAATATTGCACATATACAGAAGATAAGCTTTGTTTCACTAAACACATTACCAGTAAAGTATTTGGTTTACCCCTCGAGCGAATTGGAACATAAAAGTGCGAGCATACTGCCCTGAATTATATACTTCCAGTGAACAAACGCACCATCCAAAGCATCGGGTTCGTTTTTATAGCTTTTGGTACGCTCAAGCCATTGAAAACAGAATTATAATCAATTCTATTATTTCAATTATTTTTATTAAGTGCGCCTATCTGTGTTTTTTTTTTTGTCTGTTGCGTTCACTTGCCATTTTCTTAGTTATATAATATTTTTTCTAGAAGTCCGACACGTATAGTCTGGTTGATCATAAGTAAAGGCCGCATAATCAAAGCTGTAAAAAAAAAAAAAACGCGAACAAGGGAACACACATTAAAAATTCAATGTAACGGCGCAATCAAAATTAGTCGTTAGTTTTTTAGAGAGCAGGAGTTTCGTAAGGCGACACCCGTTGAAGGTTATAAAAAGTGCAGTACAACTGTTCGTTCGCGGCCTTTAACGTGCATTACGCAGTATATGTGGTACATGATCGCACGACGGTAGGATGCAGATGGGCGACTGAACCTAGGGTCCCTGCTAAAGCCTCTTGATAAAGGCATTTTTTACATGTACCGCCAACTATTGTCGTAGAAACGCGTAAGACGCGTGCCACGAGCGGGTGCTCCGCCGCCATTCGCTTTCAAGGGACAGTCATTTTAGTGCTGCGCCGCCATTTGCCTCCAAGGGCCGCTTGAGACACGGGCCTCGTGCACTGGCACCTTTGAGGTTATTTGAAAGACCAACGCAAACACATCGAGGGGATTTATTCCCTGCAGGTTCTGCCAACGTTGGGTTCCGCAGCGTGAGCTCCGTGCTTTGAACGGAGCTCGCGCTCGAGCATTTCTCTACGTGCTCTGATCTGCGGTGTCACTACACACTCGGCCAACGATCCCCCGCCACACTTTGTTTAGCCTGTGAGCTAAACCAAATGAGCTACGCTTGAGCCTGGTTCAGGCAGTTGCGTTCGACTGCGTTTGACTGTGTTGTGGCTGCGTTGCGGCTGCGAGAAACCAGGACATCCCTGCTGCTTATATCGCGTGCCAAGATGATTCCTTGAATTGGATTCCACGCTTCATACGAAGCACAGATGTGCCGGTGACTCGCTTTCGGTTCTCGACGAAACGTAGTCAAACGCACTCAAAGGCAAGTGTCTGAACCGGCCTTTAGAGTATCGAAACTATTCCCCCCGATATTATTGTGGGCGCCGCCATCTTAGTAATTAGTAACCATTCAAACGCAACTGCCGATCGTCATGATTCAAAAGTGCTACCTCCACAGCATTAGTTTCGGTGTCAGGCAGCTCGCGTAATATTGCTTTGCTTTGTCGCGAACTGTTTCAACCTTTGTGGAGGACGGAAAGGCGTTTCCTGTGATTTCAAAAGCTTAAGATAACTGGCAACCAATATTTTAAGCACCAAGATGTCTATGAAGCGTTGCTTACTTAGTTCTTCTAGTTTAGCCCGACCGCATAGGAACAGAAAGAGAACAAACAGCTTGACCTCGCGCTCTTGGCGCTGCTTCATTGGCTTTATCAGCCCCTAGCGTTGGCTGCGCTCAAAACTAAGGTAAAGCAAGGCAAATATTCAGATCTTAGGGTTTCACAAGCCAAACCAACAAAAATCACTTTACATGCCTCAATACAAAAAATATAAAAAAAATTGCGGGCTTATTTTGACTAATTGGAGATCTTTTGATGTGCAACCGAAATCTCAGATTGGCCTCCGTCGGATTGCGGGCACCTCGGCCGATATTTAAACACGACAAATATGGATTCATGGGCCATCGCGTTGGCTCAGAGATACTCAGACGATTTAATGTTTTGTGTTTTGTTTTAATATCATTGGCACTTAAGATCCACCGTGGTGATTTCTGAAACAAAATATAGTCAAACCACTCCGACAAGAATAGTGTGATTGCGAAAATGGTGTTTCCAAGTTATAAAAACATTAAATGTTTTCGCATACGTGGCGGAAGCTGAAATGGTAGAATGCATTTCATGGCGCCCATTTTGTTTGGATCACGTCGGGAATGTGTACCGACGCACAGTAGAACGAGCGCAAAAGTAGCCGTGGTGCACCCGCAGCCTCGCGGTTGTGTTTCTGACATCTCTGGCTCGCTCACTGCGGGTATCCCGGCATCTGACACCCTGACATCAGGCGCTTTTTCTGTCTTTCGCGTGGCGTTCCAAGCGGCACACGACGGAAGATGCACATCAAGCTGTTCTTGAACACGTGTCGCCATCTGTACTTCATATTAAGAAACTACAATTTTCCGTAACTGAATAGGAAAACTGAGCTCTTATAACATTTTTAACGTGTAATATATCAATATGGAAGTTCTCGAAAATGTAATATCGAAGGATGCTTCATAATTTAATGTCTCGTTATTTTGATCAGTTGACGTGATTCCGTTTTTATATCGCCATAAAATACCCCATTTTAAACTTTATTTTTTATTTTAAATATACATTATCTGTGCACTTCGTTGCTTACTTTTTTAATTTATTACATCCAACCAAACACTCACGTAAAGTATCGTGGGCAATGGGACGTTAGAACTCGAGAAATAATTTTTTCAACATTAAAGACTGTGGTCTATTAAAAGATAAATAATGAACTAACAACTAAAAATAATCGTAATTTTGAGACATTAAAAGATCGTCGAAAAACAGCTCTTTAATTTGACATTAACTTTATAATTGTAAGATACATAGAACGAGAGTTATAAGCCGTCAAAAAACACCAAAACATCATGCACGGTGGGGTTGCACCTTAAAAAGCCGAGCCCGGTCTTGCCGACTCATTCCCTCTCGCCCTAGCCAGCTGTTACGCCGACACACCATTGCTCGCTCCTGCCGCCTTTGACGCTCGTGGTTGCTTTCTCGACGCTTGCTCTTTCTTCGGTTTCTGCCTCGGCTTTGCCGACTGAACCTTTTTTTCAGTTCGTTGTTATAGTGTCTCTTCTTTTTCATCCGGGAAAATATATCTTAGAGGCGGTATAAGCGTACCGGTACAATTACGAGAATATCGGTCGCCCGGCATTGTGATCTGTCTACTCTAACATCATAGCGGTGTTGACTGTAGCTCTTCACCGGTGACCATGAAACCCAATTCTGCGGCCGGTATTCGATACCGGGTGACCCGCATTTGTATACCGGAAACCGTACAGCTACGTTAGTGGACGATGCGTAAAGTCTGGTGCCCTGTATGAACCTGTGTAGTCCGGTATAAAGACGTACAGGTTTTCTTCGTGAAAGGTGTCTAGGAAATCAACCTAAGCCCAAAATATGAGAACGCTCAATCAGAATACGTACTTTTTCCCAAGCGTTTTATTTTTATTTTCATGACGGCACTATGCACGATTCGGTCGCATTCTAGGCGAAGTGGAAGTCTAGCTCCTAAAATTTTAAAGGTCATTAGGTGATTTGCGGGTGTCAAGCACACCAGGAATATAACTGCAGCCTATAAGAAAGGGTTCTAACCCGGTACTGTACAATTTTATTACCTTGACAATTTGTGATGTTCAGACATAGAAATGAAGAAGCCAACCAAGAGATTTCGAATATAAAGTTTATATAACTTGAATAATCAAATTTCCTTGACCTTCAAAGTTTTTATATAATTTTAGTTATGGTTCTCTGGTTTATCACAGCCACCTATAGTATAGTTGAAAGCAGGACCTTTACAGTGCTCTTCAAATTTGTTTCTGCATCTTGTTAGAGGTTTAGAAAAGCGTTCTTTTGTGACCATCAGGTAACATTCTGCAAAATGAAATCCGCTTTAATTATAACATCGAACTGTTGCGTAAACTAAATTTTCACCTTATGCCTTGTTGAAGGAAGTATTAGCTAAACAAAACGTTAAAGCAGCTTTTAGTTGCCATAGCTACAATTTGAACACGAAGGAAGACTGCAGAACACTCCTGTATATATAAAAACGCCATTTTACAAATTCAAAAACAAGTCGTTATTAGGTTAATACCTTTAAAACAAAGAATAAAACTTGCGTTATGGGTATTTCGATATAAAATTATGTATACAAGAAAGTACATTTAATACATTGTCGCCATACATTTGTATAGCAGATACTGCCCAGCCCTGCTCTATAGCTATTGTCATGTCGTAGTGTAATTTGTTCTCTAGAAACTTTTTAGCGTTATACTTTGCTTGAATTGTAAAGTTTGTTAATAAGATGCAAAAAAAAATTAAAATAGATAATTACACAGGAAGAAATTGCTCAGTGAATGCGTTTCATACGTGCGCTTATAAACGACTGGCAATCGCCTCTATGTCACAGATGTTAACAGCATGCAGCTCAACGACGCCACTATTATTTCGCACGCAGTACTTTGTGACAAAAGGCTTATTCTGTCTATACACTTTTCAGGGGGAGGTGCCAGTAGTAGAGGTGTGCTTGTAAAGAGTTTTCTGGTGTCGACTGGGGTGTCCTATCCCTATGAAGGGATGTTTTTAATAAACCTCAAGCTCTGTTGGTCGTCGCGTGTTGTCCCTTATTATGTCTTTCTTCTCCCCTGCCCAAGGTCAAGGTATGTCAGAAGAAACTAATACTGGTGTCAAGTTACAGGTTTTCGCACGCAGAATATCAGTTGTGACCGCATCTCGGCATCTTTGTAAGTACGAGATGATTGTGTTTCTGGTTTTATAGGTGGACGCTACTTTACAACAAAACGCTTTTACACAAGATTAGCTAACATTACTGTTAAATCGTAGAACTTAAAAGGAATATTTATTTTCTAAACGGTATTCAATACTCTGAGCACAGGTAATATTCGTATGCGCGCTGTTCAGTTGCCTAATATAATACACGGTTAAATGTAAACATTTATTTGATGTCAATGTTTCGAACCGTCAACAGACTCCACTTGTGCTCAAGATAGATTTGGTACCCACCTTTAGACTTCCTTGGGTCCGGGTTTCTTATTATCATACAAGATCGCATGTTCGAAAACAATATTTGGCGAGAGAATGTCACAGGAGCTTCTGTTGAAAAGTATATGGAATATTGTCACAGACAAAAACTCGACCAAATTACCGTATTCTTGAAAAGCAAGTCTATTGCAATTAAATTGGGAACGGAGCAATCTGAGATAACTTTGCTGCAGCATGTGAAGCATGTGGGCTCTCTGCGAATTCCTATCTTGAAGCACACCCGTACATTCGAGGTGATTACGGAACAACAGATTGCATGCCGACCTAAAATGCCATTGGTGGCACAGATATACACGACGTAAGGGGAAAGCTGACAGGTTGCGTACTGGCATACATTCATAGCACGTACACAATATTAACACGACCCACATGTTCCTTAACTAATCAGCGCAATGTTTAAAGGAGACCGCATCAAAAGCTTCTCAAGTACAACGAAACGAATGAGGCACAACCATCAAAGCTACTTGAATGTAAATGAATTAAATTACGAATTGCAAAATTGCTTTAAAGATATAAAGCGTATGTCCTAATTTGGCGTAGACATAAAAATAAAACTATACGCGATGGCCTACAGACTTAGCAAATAATCCGATCGAAGTATACTCATAAGTCGATATCCATTTTGTTAGCAAAAGACTTGAGACGTTGTTCGTAATGTAACCGACCACCCGATTGAACGAATTAAGATTTTAAAAATTAAACTTGAACTCAACCTGGTTTTTCGGCCATAGAGATGTTGTACCCAGTCACGTTTTTTACATAGAAAGTTTTACGAAATCTGCAAGGAAACAGGTTAAAACGCCGATTTGTTTTTGTGATACACGCACGATACAGATTGTAATGTTATTAATACATTTAATACTTACGTATGACGATTGTAGATAAATTTATAACCATATTTTCTGTAGGTCTGATTTCGCTCGGTGTGATTGTAGAAATGGTGATAATAACATTCTGCTTGCTGAAGATCTAAAGCTGATTGAAGCATGAATGTTTGAGGTAGCTTCTCCATAACCTGCAAATGTAGTTAGATATGTAAACAGAACGTTCAATAACCTGAATATAAGCACCTAAAATGACAGAAGAGTGAAATAACTTTCTGTATCACAAAAGAAGGAGGAAAAAGAATACGTAAAACATTTACCGCAGTATTTCTTTTCTATGCAATCCACTGGTAAAGCATTTTTTGTTTAAATTCGTTTTATATTTCGGTTAAAATTCAGAGTAATGCATCAACGTTTTTTAAATAATTAAAATTGGCCGGTGCATAGGTGTACAATCCTGCGGAAATTTGCGCAGAACTACGTGTGGGTGGCACAATATATAAGAGGGGAGTAAATTAAGAGATGTTGTGACTTGTGTACTCGTCTCAGATGCGTTGTTTATGGCAGCTAGAGACCCGTCCGCTGACTCGTGCCGTATGACGATGGCGGTTGAGGGAGAAGTGAATGCCCGTGGCTCAGAGTCCCGTAGAAGCAATTATGCACCTCCCCCCGGGCCGCCATATCTGAGTTGCATATGCGGAATTGTGCGCCAAGAAAGTAGACGAAAAAAAACCTGGGAGCGCTATTGGGCCATCTCAAAAATGCGATACGAAGTTTCTTTTCTTTTCAAGGAGAAGCACGTACGGATGAAGAAGCCAACGGCGCCTTCGTGGCGGAGGCGGTGGCATGTTCGCCGCGTAAGTGGTGTACCTCGCTGCGAGGAGCGTCGACACGCATGAAAGGTCGCAGGTTTTTTTCTTCAGATTTTCCGCGTTGAACATAACTTCAATTTTATTTTGACGTGCGTAACGTCACTTCTGTGACCACGTTTTCGTGACACCGACTTCCTAGCTTTGATCGTCGGTGCCAGTGCGAAGAAAAACGTAGCTCTACGTCAAAATCGGGGTTTTTCGGTATTTATAAGGAATGGGTGGGACTCTATCAAATTAAATATGCTGGCAAGTAACGAAGCAAAGCGCAGGAAAGAAGGTGGAGTTTACAACTGCATACTAAAAGTAAAACAAAATGACTGTCATTATTATAAGCCTACTGTTAATTTATAGTTTTGAGAAATTACTTTTGCAGTGGCAAACTACACCCCTTCTGTCAAGGAAGCACTAATCTTAATTCATTCAGCGGAGCTCATTATATATTTTGCGCTCGCAGGCGCACCTGAAGAAGCTCATGTCGACACCATGGCCACATATCCCACTTCCCCCTTCCGTTTTTTTTTGTTTTTTTTTGCGTGCTGTTTTGCCGCATTCTTCAGCTTCGACGGAGAAGGACCGGAAAAGGTGATTCTGGGATGCGTCCCTCTATGGCTCGCTGACGGCTTGATAAGCAGCCGTGGCAGCTTCCGGCGGGCCTCTATCCGAAACATCGTTTTGCGACGCCTTTGCCCCCTGGTGACTTCCTTCGCCCCGTAGTGCTGTATAAGACTACATGTTGCGATCTGGTGCCGGCGAAGAAACGTCACGCCCTGCGAAGTCTCAGGCGTGGCTACCCAGGCGTCTGGCCCGTGGTCCATATAGGAACTTTCTCATGGAGTAAAACCATGAAGCAAATCCAGGGTTCTGACTGGCGTATTTGAACATCACGCACTTTCGCAAGCACGAGGCGGCCCTGGCCCTTTCGCGCTCTTTGTTCGAGATAAAACTACTCGTGCCAGCGAACCAAGGAGCGTTGACGGCGACGGAACATGGGGAGGAAGCACAAAAAGAGCGGCGGCGAAACGATGGCTAGTGGATATTGGCTGTAAGCAACCAGTTACAGTAATGGCACGTAAAAGGGCGCCAATAGGGCCGTAAGCAAGCAAATCTCCGAGAAAACTTCACCGTCTCCGAGGCGGCGTCCGTGTACGAGTGAAGCACTGCAGTTGTTAACCCAAAACCTCGAGCCCCCCCCCCCCCCCAATCCCCCCCATCCCCTCGCTCCCCTTCCCTCTTTTCTCTACCACTTGGACCATAGAACATGTGTCACAAAAAAGAAAAAAAAAAAAAAAAAACACAGTCACTGAGTGTGTTTGGTTGCCGGCGAGCGCGTTACTCTGACGTGTTTGGAATTTTCACATGACGTTACCTAGTTGGATGTGCCATGCGAGCCTCCACTACTGACCTGCTTGAACCCTTGAACTACAGGTTTTCCCGCTCATTTTAATCCAAGCGACGACCAATTTAATCCCGGGGTCGCTCAATTTAATCCAAGCGCCATACAATTTAATCCAAGCGCCACACAATTTAATCCCGGGGTCAGTCAATTTGATCCACAATATATATATATATATATATATATATATATATATATGCACTTATTGGGGGTGTTCAGTGGTCGTGTTTCGCTTACACATTTGGTAACTTAGAACAATTGTTCATACAATTAGAATTTTCGGGGGGCGATTGAGAATTTGATCACTAATGTGATTACTTTGAGTTACTAGTCCTACTATTAACTACTACGAGGCTTCATTGATATGTTGGTTACTCTTTTTAGAGCGCAGCTCTTAGGCACCCGTTTCCGGCTTCAGCCGCGTCGGCGTCGCCGGCGCCGTCGGCGTAACCACGCGTTGAATGATGGGTAAATTCCCCTGCTAAATTTAGCGGAGAAATTTCCCCGCTAAATCAAGCGGAAAACTTTCCCTGCTAAATCTATCGAAAAATCTTCCCAGCTAGATTTAATGAAAAATTTGCCCCGCAGAGTCTAGTGGAAAATTTTCCCCGCTAAGTCTAGCAGAAAATTTTCCCCGCTAAATCTAGTGGAAAATTTTTCCCGCTAAATTTAGCGGGAAATTTTTTCCCGCTGAACCTAGCGGAAAGTTTTCCCCGCTAAATCTAGCGGAAAATTTTCCCCGCTAGATTTAGCGAAAAATTTGCCCCGCAAAGCCTAGCGGAAACGTTTCCCCGCTAAATCTAGTGGACAATTTTTCCCGCGAAATCTAGCGGAAAATTTTCCCCGATAAATCTAGCGGAACAATTCACCAGCTAGATTTAGCTGAAAAGTTTCCCCGCTAAGTCTTGCGGAAAATTGTCCCCCCTAAATCTAGTGTAAAATTTTTCCCACTAAATTTAGCGGAAATTTTTTTCCCGCTAAATCTAGCGTAAAGTCTTCCCCGCAAAATCTAGCGGAACATTTTCCCAGCTAAATTTAGCGAAAAATTTGCCCAGCAAAGTCTAGCGGAAAAGTTTTCCCGCTAAATCTAGTGGAAAATTTTTCCCGCTAAACCTAGCGGAAAATTTTCCCCGCTAAATCTAGCGGGAAAATTTCCCAACTAGATTTAGCGGACAATTTTCCCCGCTAAGTCTAGCGGAAAATTTGCCCCGCTAAATCTAGTGTAAAATGTTTCCACTACAATTATCGCAAAAATTTTTCCCGCTATATCTAGAGGAAAGTTTTCCCCGCTAAATCTAGCGGAAAATTTTCCCAGCTAGAGTTAGCGAAAAATTTGCCCCCCAAAGTCTAGCGGAAAAGCTTCCCCGCTAAATCTAGTGGAAAATTTTTCCCACTAAATCTGGCGGAAAATTTTCCCTGCTAAATCTAGCGGAAAAATTTACCAGCTAGATTTAGCGGAAAATTTGCCCCGCCAAGTCTAGCGGAAAGATCTCACCGCTTAATCTAGTGGAACATTTTCCCGCTAAATCTAGCGGAAAATTTTTCCCACTAAATTAAGCGGAACATTTTTCCCGCCAAATCTAGCGGAAAATGTTACCCGCTAAATCTAGCGGAAAATTTCCCAGCTAGAAATTTTCCGCTAGATTTAGCGGGGAAGATTTTCCGCTAAAGTTAACGGGGAAATTTTTCCGCTAGACTTAGCGAGGAAAATTTTCCGCTAGTTTTAGCGCTGAAATTTTTCCGCTAAACAGCGAGGAAAATACCCCGCTAAATTTAGCGGGAAACATTTCCGCTAAATTTAGCGATGACATCTTTCCGCTAAATTTAGCGGAGAAAATTTTACGCTAGATATAGGGGGAAAAATTTCCGCTAGGGTTAGCGGGGTAAATTTTCCGCTAAATCTAGCTGGGAAGATTTTCCGCTAGATTTAGCGGGGGACATTTTCTGCTAAATATAGCGGGAAAAATTTTCCACTAGATTTAGCGTAGAAAATTGTCCGCTAAATTTAGCGGGACAAATGTTCTGCTAGATTTAGCAGGAAAAACATTCCGCTAGATTTAGCGGAAAAATTTTCTGCTAGATTTTGCGGGGAAGCTTTTCCGCTAGACTTAGCGGCGCAAATTTTCCGATAAATCTAGCTAGGGAAATTTTCCGCTAGATTTAGCGGGGGAAATATTCCACTAAATATAGGGGGAATATTTTTCGCTAGATAGAGAGGGGAAAATTTTTCCGCTAAATATAGCGGGGAACATTTTCTGTTAAATCTAGCCGGAAAGATTTTCCGCTAGATTTAGCGGGGGAAAGTATCCGCTAAATATAGCGAGAAAATGTTCCGCTAGATTTAGCGCAGGAAATTTTTCGCTAAATACAGCGGGGAAAATTTTCTATTAGATTTAGCTTGGAAAATTTTTTATTAGATTTAGCAGTTAAAATTTTTCGCTAGATTTAGCGGGGAAATTTTTCTGCTAAAATTAGCGGTGGAATTTTCCCATCATGCACCGCGTAGTTACGCCGACGCCGCTCAAGCCGGAAACAGGTGCCTAAAAGAGCTGCGCTTTAAAAAGAGTAACCAACATATCAATTAAGCCTCGTCAGTAGTGTGACTAGTAACTCAAAGTAATCACATTAGTGATCAAATTATCAATTGCCCCCCCCCAATTCTAATTGCATAAACAATTGTCCTACGTTACCAAATGTGTAAGCGGAACACGACCACTGAACACAATAAGCGCATATACATATATATTGTGGATTAAATTGACTGACCCCGGGATTAAATTGTGTGGCGCTTGGATTAAATTTTATGGCGCTTGGATTAAATTGAGTGACCCCGGGATTAAATTGGTCGTCGCTTGGATTAAAATGTGCGAGAAAACCTGTAGACGCGATCCCGCTAGACGAAGGGTGGTAAGAATAGGACAGCTTGTGGTGTACTCCCTATCGAAAAGACCATCAGGAAAATCCTGATGGTCTGATGGTCTGATGGAGTCGTATTTTGGGACGTCTGATGGTTTGATGGTCTATTGGCCTGATGGTTTGATGGTCTGTTGGCCTGATGGTTTGATGGCCTGATGGTTTGATGGTCTGTTGGCCTGATGGTTTGATGGCCTGATGGTTTGATGGTGTGTTGGATTGGTCTGATGGTCGAATGACCTGTCGTATTTTGAGACGCCTATTTTTTTACGGTTTGATTAGGGTGGTTTCATGGCTAATTTGAAACAAATCGAGTTGGCCACAACTTAAAAAACACAACAATATGTGAATGCATAATCTGGAAACTTAATTATGCCATGCCTGGAGCATGACGAGGTGCATATCCCACTTAGAATTTAATTATATTGTCCACTGCACACTGGTAATCGCCAGCCCGACATTTGAGTACGGCGAATGCAGCTACTAATAAGAAGAAAGTCAAACAAGCTGCTTTGCTTTGATATTTTTATTATGAAGTTATGAAATCATACATTGTTTCGCTGGGCGGAATGGCTAGGTAGTACAGAAAAACCAGAAACATTCGAGGAAGTACTATTGTGACCAATATTAGTTGAAGCGCCATGACGCTTGGCGTGCGGTACTATCAGAGCCACCTGTCGGATTATCAGTGAACCGCTGTGTTTGCTGAGGTTTAGGCAGGTTGCTTCTTGCACTCATTGTGCCACCATGAGCTGAAAATTGACACGGAACGGCATAGTGGTGCAACGAGCACAAGAAGTGATTTGTTTCTACCTCAAAGCATACCAAGGTTTGCTGAACAATCTGAGAGACAACTCTCATCGCGTGCCACGTGCAGTGGCGTTTCAGCTCATATTGGCTGCGATAGTACAATTGTTCCATTTCAATAGTATTGGCAATATATAAATTAAGCTAAATTAATATGAAGAAAAGGGTAAAAAGGCTACAACATGGGGTGCAAGCGATGGCAGACCTGCAACAGCATGGGCAGTCCGTGGTGGGACCACGCATCGGGGGAGGACAGGCAGCAAAGGGATGAGCCTGGACATATCAAGGGCAATTCAGAGATCAGCAATGAGTCCAAACACAGGACGACCATTGACATACGTTAACAGCAGAGTGGGCCTAGAGACGACTAAGGGGCAGTAAGAGTGACGTGCTTCATTGTAATTGTGTGACCATGCAACTTTTTGGAGAGTGAGCGAGCACGGCCTGATGGGATGGCAGTAGCGACCAAGCAACCCACAGCCTTTTTCAAGTGGTCAGCTGATCAACAGACTACTTTAAAGTTGTTTGCATAAACATTTAGATATATTAACCACTAAATAATTTATCTGTACCGTCATTTAAAATAATTGCTTGTAAACTTGAGACCCAGAATAGTATATTACTTAATTAAGGAAGTTAGAGTATAGATGCACATACCTTGGTAGTGATTTCTTTTGAGATTGGACAGCTTTTCTGACAGGTACCGCCATATCTTCTGGTGCCGGGCTGCCCTTTCAGCCTGGTGGTACCTTTCTCCCTCAGGTGTAGTCAAAAGCAGCCTGGAATATTGAAATTCCAGGGTGATTATTTTTTGCAGTGCTCAGACTTAAAACAATATAGAACATCATAAATACAGGCTGGAGGGTCATAGTTTGAGAAGACCAAGGGTAAATTAGTCTCAAATAAAAGCAATTAAGTGGCAGCTGGCACCTAACAAACCTTCAAAGTTTCTTAGTATTTACAGTGTTCAGAGATCACCATGAAAGCAAAAGTACCGCAGTATCCTGATTTATGTTCCACTCCCAATAGACAGCTCACCCTGGCTTCTGTTAGACTCTTTTAAGCACAAAACAGGTAGCCCATGTCTATAAATCTCACTGCTAGGCTAGTGACCTTGTAAGAAATAGGAGCTACAACTGTAGATAAGTAGACAATGTACGTTGGAAACTGCTTATACTTGGTTATCATCCCTCGCTGTGGTAACAGCTTAGACACGCCACAGAATTAAAAAAAATAGCATCATGAGCACCAGAAAGAACAATGCAGTTCTATATAAAAACAATCTTTCACATTCCTTGAAAGATCTTCCATTCATGGCCTGGCTCTAAATTTAAAGGTAATTAAACAGTCTTTCAATGTGCACCTGGTGGAGGCCTCTGAAGCTTCGTTGGGAGGTAATCTAACAATGTTGGGGATCTTGGACGTAGTCGTGACATGGCGAAAACCGCTATGTAGCTGCACTACACATCGGAGGAGCGCCGCTGTTTGGAGGTATACTCAACTGTTGGAGTAATCTCGCCCTGAACGCGATGACCTTGACATTACTTATCTCACACATAGGCGCTTAGACAGCTTAGTCCGCTTTGGTCCACGTAAAGCCCACAGGTGTTTCAAATGGCTAGGCTGTAACACGTCTACACCACCACTATGCACCCGAACGGCACAGCTCGTAGCCACGCCAGCTTTGCCGGATAGCCCACGACGCATCGAGCTCTCCGTTGACTTCTCTTCGAGCACTTGCTCGAGTTTGTTGCTTAGAACGAAAAATAAAATTATCTGTTCAAAATACAAATGTGCGATTATTTACGGTTATTATCTGTTATGATTGACTCATTCTTGGCGGGGTACCCCCATCACATGTCCAGGTGTTAGCAGACAACCTACTAGAGTAAAATCTCGGTGATACTAACTGGTACGAATTTCGGAATAAAACAAATTAACAAATTCCCCGGCCGAAGTGCATTGTATACGACGTGAAAATTTTTGGGTGTTCCGAATTCCTCTACGCACTGCGACGGCTGATACGAATGCGTGCTCCACAACTGATAGTGGCAAGGAGGCCACGATCGGCGACTGTAAGCTTTCAAGGCTCCGGGCAGCTGATTGCCTGTTGCTGCCAGGGATCAGCCGCACTTTACCCAAAAACTGGAGCTCAAAATTACATGCATGTTACAATCGGACCCAAAAACCAAAACTAAACAAAATGCTAAAAAAAAACTGCAAAGTGGCCAGCCCCGTCACCATCAACACGTTTCAAATCCAATCCAATCTGAATCCAAAATCGCTTTTTTGTTTTTGCGATCTCGTGGAATGGTGTTTCAGCCTTGGAAAAGCAAAACCGATCTTACTATAAGGTTACCTCTAAAAAACAAAGTAACTGCGTTGGCAAAAACAGAAAACCGAGTGATGTTGGTGGTGTCTTCGGTGTGGTCCACGGTGACATGCGAGCTTGGTTGGAAAGACAAAGAAACTGAATTTTTGCTTGCAAGTTTTTGATGTAGGGCTTCAACAGCACATAGTGTGGGCACTTTCCGAGTATGTGCATTTGATAAAATGTTTTCCACAAAGTGTATGTTGTTCAGCCGTCATTATTTTATCTGCGAAGTAGAATCGACATTTACCTGCGCAGTAGAATCGACATTAATTCATTTTTTCAACATTCGTGGGTTGATTATAACCGTGTGTTACTATCGGGGGCGTGTTAGAATCGTGTAAATTGCATACAAGATATTTTCTGTCATAAATAAATGCCCATTCATGCATTCCTTGTGTTTCAAAATATAAATTTTGTTTCTCTTTCGTTGATACGAATTTAGCATGAAATATTTTACGCGACTCCGCGAGATTCATATCAAGATTTTAAAAATGCTTGCTTAATGAGAGAGCCTGCACCTTGCGCTGAGTGAGCGGGGCAAACGCCTTCTCTTGCCTCACTGCCTTTGCCTTGTTGGAGAGGGTGCCGGTCACCGACCTCTCCAAAAGCACTTCCACTCACCCTATGGAAGCAGCAGTGATCTTGCAAAACATGGAGTCGCACTCTGCTCTCCGCATGTTGCCCGCATTCCTGGTTGACGTGCACACCTTGCCCGACATGGATCTGTTATAAACAAAAGCGAGAAACAGCTTCACATATACCAGTCGTTGACGTAGAGTGGTACTGTATACTCCAAGATGCATTGAAAATGCACTAAAATTATTACATTAATAAAATTTAGGCCTTTAAATTTAAGACAGCACTACACATGAATTCCTATCTTCATGGGCGTCTGCGAAGCTGATGGGCCTACAAAGCTTCATGGCATCTGCATGAAACAGCAGCATAATCCCTTAGTTGCATCAGGTGAGCATGACAACAGAATGTTTTCCAGGCACTGGCTGTAACTACAATTAAGAGCCTGGCTACAATAATGTTTTAATGACTTCTTGTTGCAATCGATTCAATCTACTGTGCTTACATTATCTCAGGAGTGGCCAAAGTGAGGCTCGCGAGCCGCACGCGGCTCTTTGCGGGTCCAAGTGCAGCTCGCGGCTCCCTGGAAAACGTGTCCCCTAGACGAAAAGGGTTCTAGAATTTAGAAAGAGCTACAAGTCTTGGCAGCCTGGCAACACACTACATATATACACTGTGGGGATTCCTCTGGTCTCCCTTCCCCGATGGCTGTGATAACGGCCGCGGGTCGGAACGCTCGGCCTTCTTCGCCGTGAGCTCCGTCCTGTTCGTGAGGCAGAGGGCCGCCTGGCTTGGGGGGCTCTCCTCTCACTCTCTCCCGGGGGGACCTCTTTCCGTCCCCCCGCTCGGTTGCGGATCACTGCTGACAGGCGAGGAGGTTTCGCCTCTTGTTTTCCTGCTTTCGGGAAAGGGACTCGTCCGGGTGACCGCGAAAGAGATAGGACGTGCGTCGGCGACTTCTCCGATGCTTCCCCGGTCTTGGCTCTCCGGAACCCCGCGTCTGGCCAGGTAAGGACCTTTTCTTACCTTGCAGGCGCGGGGGGCATTTTGGATGGGGACAATGTAGTTCGTTTTAAGAGTATTCTAATAAATGCTCTTGGACTCTGTCCTTACTCTGGTACGTGTGTCTTCTCTTCCGCTATATTCGAGAGAGTGAGACAAGGTAGACGATCATTGGCACCGACGGAGGTAATTAATCGAACCAACCCGCCGTAATCTAGCCCTAAACGTTCGTCTATATTGCCGCGGAGATGTGGGGACCGCGCTACTAGGTTTGACGTCTTCTTTGAGATATCGCCGCTGTTGAGATAATCCTTTGGTTACTCTATCGGTACCTGTGTTGGTAGCAAAATCCCACATAAAATGGCGCCCAACGTGGGGCCACGACTTCCTTTATCGTGGTCGTGGCTCCTGGCCTCCGTCCCCTTGTCCGGCCTTTGCCAGCAATTCCTTGCCTTTGATCGCCCCGTACCATGAGCGTCCTGATCTCGTCACTTATGGTTGAGCGATTAATGCCGAGTCGGCAACCCGCAGTGCCACTCCTTTGAGCGAGCGCAGTGTGATTCGTACGCGCGTTCCTATTTTGAATTAGCGTGCGTCAAGCAACATTCGTTGTTGCGGGAGACCCTTTGTTCTCCATGCTTGAGGCGAACCCTTCACCTGTGTGTATTTGGGTTCCTTGCGCGCCTCCAACAACTTGTCCTGAAGGGAAAATGTAAATAGAAGTTTTGATGACGTTTTTGAGTACCGGGTGGACTTTTATGTCCGGCGGGGAGCGAGGCTTGGCAGAAAAGAGTAGCGAAGGATCAGCAGTGCAATCTGGGAATGTAAATATTCGCGTTTTCTTTGACTCGGAGTAGTCGCGGACACTCATTTAGAGTCGGACGGTACGCCTGCCAATGACGTCGATAAGTAGCTGGTACTGCTACTGACGGGCTCCGGGAGCCGGGCCGCGTAATCGTCGGCGTCGAGAAGCAGTTTGCACACTGTTGACGCGCGCGCTGTATTCACTGCTGGTATTGCAGTGGGCGCGGAGGGTTTTCTTCGGGAAAGATTTGTATCTGCTTGATGCCAATGTACTCCTGCAGCCTGTTGTCGTTTTCCAAGAACGACACTAGTTTTGCGTTCATGGTGGTGGCGCTACGCGGTCTGATGCGCACTGTGACAGTATCTGGGTGGACGAGTGACTCTAAGACTTTCGGAAGTTATGTTGCTCTGAAACCCAGGCGCCATGTAGTCAGAGCCCCCTTTGGCGATATCTGTCAGACTCGCGTAATCCAGGTGGAAGAGCGACTCTAAGACTCTCAGCAGTTACGTCGCTCTGAAACCTGGCCTTGCCTCAAAAGAAGGGTCCACACCGTTGTGAGTCCTTGATCAAGCCGTATCGAGTGCAAGACATGTTTTTCTAGCCTCGGTAAGCTAGCTAGCTCAAATAGTTGGCGAAACTAGCAGGTTTGAGCGTGTGAGCTACGGCCCCTTTTGTCTTCCTCTCTGGGGAGCAAGATGGCGGCTATATTGCGCGGGAACTTGCATCTTCCCCGCTCGCAGACGCGCATGCATGGCGGTTTGTTTCTATCCGCCCCTTCGAAGTCCCCGTATCCGTTTACCTCGACTTCCGAAGATGGGTCAGCTGCAGACTGTTATCTGTTTTTGGCCACTTATAGTCAACGGACTCTTCCGGTAACTATAAAACCGGGTATTGTAGGCAGCCTCTGTGTTAGCTGCCTGTGCAAAGGATTGAGAACTCGGCGTTTTTCCTAGAAGCTCTCTCCCCGGTGCCCACATTAAGCGAACTCAATTAGTTTGCTTGGTATGTGGACGCGTTTCGAACGGAGGGGCCCCCTTTTTTATGGCTTCTTCCGGTGTCGAAGCGGGTCACTCTGGCATGTTCCTGTCACCGTTGACAAACTGGCCACCTTCTTTGTGGTTTTTGTTTGTCGTTTGCTCCTGCCCGTTTCCGCCGCCTTTGCGGCCCGAGGCAGGCGAGCGTCGGTTGCGCGCGCCCCCTCTTTCGGAGGCTGCAGCGCCCTTTCTTCCCTTTGGGGAGGTCTACGGCCGGCTTTGGGCGTGTTGGCTGCTGGCGCAAAACGACTTCGCAGGTCTCCTCCGAGGTCGTGCACCCCCCCTTCACCAGCCCACTGCGGCCGAGATGGCGCCGAACCCCCTGGGCAGCGTGTCTGGGACTTCACCAGCTGGTCTCCGCCGGTGGGCGGCGGTCGTTGGTCTTTCGGTGCTGCCGCCTTCACGACCGCCTGACTGCCCCCCACTGCAGGCCAGCTTGTACCGCGACACCTGGGTCCAGCGGCGTCAAAATGGTGCCTGTGATGCTCTGCGGTGCTGTGGCGACGACTGTCAAGTGCTTGGAACTTGAACTTTCCAGGTCTTTGGTCCTGCGGGCCAGCTCTTGACGGCGGACACTGTGAAGACGCGCGCTGGGTGTCGCATGTATTTGTTGGGGATGCGCAGAGAGATATATTATTTTATGAGAGCAGGTGGGCCTCCTTTATTGTTTCTTGAGACCCACCTACCGTTTTAAGGAGGGGGGGATGTGGGGATTCCTCTGGTCTCCCTTCCCCGATGGCTGTGATAACGGCCGCGGGTCGGAACGCTCGGCCTTCTTCGCCGTGAGCTCCGTCCTGTTCGTGAGGCAGAGGGCCGCCTGGCTTGGGGGGCTCTCCTCTCACTCTCTCCCGGGGGGACCTCTTTCCGTCCCCCCGCTCGGTTGCGGATCACTGCTGACAGGCGAGGAGGTTTCGCCTCTTGTTTTCCCGCTTTCGGGAAAGGGACTCGTCCGGGTGACCGCGAAAGAGATAGGACGTGCGTCGGCGACTTCTCCGATGCTTCCCCGGTCTTGGCTCTCCGGAACCCCGCGTCTGGCCAGGTAAGGACCTTTTCTTACCTTGCCGGCGCGGGGGGCATTTTGGATGGGGACATTGTAGTTCGTTTTAAGAGTATTCTAATAAATGCTCTTGGACTCTGTCCTTACTCTGGTACGTGTGTCTTCTCTTCCGCTATATTCGAGAGAGTGAGACAAGGTAGACGATCATTGGCACCGACGGAGGTAATTAATCGAACCGACCCGCGGTAATGTAGCCCTAAACGTCGCCTACATTGCAGCGGAGATGTGGGGACCGCGGGCTACTAGGTTTGACGTCTCCTTTGAGATATCGCCGCTGTTGAGATAACCCTTTGGTTACTCTATCGGTACCTGTGTTAGTTGGTAGCTAGCAACATCCCACAACACCTGGAATGCTTTTTGCCTCATAGATGCGTCGAGTGACCCCGTTTCCTTTATTGTTCTAAAAGACTTTCAACCGTATACGCATAACAGTTGTCAGGGGCAGTGACTGGCTAGTGAATCGTGTATTAATTTTTGCTTAGCAGTGGAAAGGACCTTCTGATGCATAGTGTCATTTGTTGTTATCGCCCATTATACTTGTAATCTATGGAAATAACTGTTCCCTGCATATTGTTTCTTGTTAAAAGTAGCACCCCCCCTTTCTTTCTTCCAGCGACTCTAAACTTTCGTAGTTTTGTCTGCGGCTCTAACTCCATGTCACTCTGGCCACCCCTGCACTATCCTAAACTCTTTTAATGTATATTATACACTGAATGAAAGTGAAAAGTTTTTCTATTTTACCATTCCTTCCTTTTCTGGAGGCCGATGCTAGGATCCACGATCTCATTCTTTGCAAGGATGTCCTCGTCAGCAACTGAAAAAAACAATTTCACATTAAAGAGGTACAGAAACCAAATTCCAGCGCTCATTTTATCGCTTTAATGAGTTGCAGGTTGCAACATAACCTCAAAAATACCAGTCCTTTCCTGAAGGGCACAAGCAAACTAATTTTAAAGCTAATCAAACAATCTTTCAATGTGCACCTGGTGGATGCATGTGGAGCCTATTTGGGAGGTAATCTAGCAACATTGGGGAACTTGCTACGTAGTCATGACGTAGGAAGGACATTCCTCGGTCATTCTGCTCAGCAACAGAGCGCAGCCACAACAGTAGAGTAGAGAGCTCTTTGCCGTTCATGCCTTCTTTCTCAGCATTATTGTTTCCACCCTTTATGAATGAATATCCTCTATGCAAGATATAAGCCATGTGTTGCTTATGACATGTTCGGCTCTATCACCGCACAGCAAACTTCTTTCATATACTGCAGGTTCATTAAAAAAGTTACCTTTTTAATGCTAAAGCATGGGTTCTGTTAGTACGGTAAACATACGAGTACCCAGAGGTCAGGCCATAAATGACTTACACGTTAGGCAGTAGGGCCCTACAGCACCTTTTGCATCAACAGCCGAGCCGCAGGTAGTCCTGCAATTGATAGAGCAGGGTAAGTCAGAGAAAGGTGTTTCTAGCAGCTCTGCTGGTGTGCCCCCTTGCAGCATTCTCACGCACATTGGGGTGTAGGCAGAAAGCATGGCATTCCTCATCAACAAATCATGACAACACATTGTTGCCGGCACCAAACTGGATCCCTGTGCTATTTTTCTTTTTTTTTCTGATTTAGTTGATTCTTTGTCTTCCTTGTCACTCCCGACTGCTTTACTGGCCTTCGTGAAATAAAGAAGGCTTGGTAAACTGCAAAGCCTTGACTGAGTGGTGAAACAGAGCAATCCCAAGGAAGTATAAATGTTAAGGACTCGACATGACATTACGCAGTGTTGGGATTCCCAAGCTGCTCTCCACACTCACATTTTGTGCACGACCAGCTCTCTTTCTGCATCAATTGGATTGGCCAGTTGTGTGCCCGTTTCGGTCGCTGCTAGCCATATGTGGCTGGCGCTGCTTTTGAGAGCCTTGCAACATCGTCACTTTCAGCTTTTGTCCTGACATAAACCGCATCTAAAAATTTAATTAGCGTTAAGATTTAGCTTTTGGACACTCCCAGAAAAAATAGGCTGTACCACATTACATAGACAGGTAATGATATTCTGGTGACAAAATTTCTACAAAAACTGCTTTGCGTTAGAGGGCACAAGGGCTGACGTTCCTGGGAGGAGCAGCTTTGTGTGAACTTGCAGATGCTTCAGCTGCCTGTTTGCGCCTGGCCAGTTCAGTTGCCATTTCCTCTTGGGTTTCTTGTAGGTACAGTCGGGGACAAAAGTCTCCAGGACACGTAAGCTGCGACTGAAACGCATTCCTCTGCCATCTGCCGGCGGGTCGCCTGGTTTCGAGATCGCAGAAGGGCGCACGTGCGTCCTATTGTACCTGCCAACGTGTGCGCTTTCCCGCTCTGCTGCGGCGCGGCGCCTAACTCGGAATCGGGCGCGTGGTACCACTTCGGAGATAGTGCTTACTGACACGGCACCTATAAAGCAAGAAGTCACGGCAGCTCAATTAAGCGATAAGCTGAACTGGTTATAAAGCAAGGTGCGCTGACACGACGAAATGCGGCGCAATGCCCCAGGCGGTATCTCGAGTTTTGGAATGTATAGCAGACGCTCGTCAGCGCCAGCGCTATCTCCGAGGCAGTACCATGTGCCCAATTCCTAGTTAGGTGCTGTGCTGCAGAAGAGCAGGGAACGCACATGTTTGCAGGCAGAGTAGGACGCGCATGCGCTTTTGTGTGATCTCGAAACCAGGCGACCCGCCGGCAGGTGGCAGAGCAATGGGTTTCAGCCGCAGCTAGCACGTCCTGGGGACTTTCGTCCCCGACTGTACATCTGTGATCATGAATAAATAAATTGGCCAGGAAGCAATGGCAGCTGATGCAACATCAATGCAAGCCATGTATTATATGACTCGCATGAATTGACATTGAATCAGCCACGATTGTGCGCCTAAGTTTGTGCTGCGGAGCGCAAGAGTTTGGCGCTCTGTTCATTAAATAGACAGAAGCGCCACCAAAGGACTGACACTCAAGCGTGCTCTTTTTGCACCGAGTATTTCTCGAAGTCCAAGTCATTTCTTCGCGCTGACAGAAACGTCGCCGAGACGAGGAGTGCAGTGGATCGCTGCCTCATTTCAGTTGAAGAATGCTTAACCCAGCGAGTAAAATGATTTGATTTCAAAGCCAGGACCATTACGGAAAAGGTTTGTTCCCGAATCTCACCTGAAAACCAATTACCCATCGAACAATAGCGTTATGATGGTACAGCGACAGAAAAGTTGTCGAGATGAGAGGACAGTCCGATCGCTTCCCTTTGTAGAATGCACAGCCCTGCGAATAAAGATACTTCGATTGGAAAGCGAAAACGTTGCGGAAAAAGTTTGTCCATGCATCTCGCCTGAAAACTAATTAATGTGCTATTTATTGAACGGTGGTGTGCCAGTATTGGAGTAGCACATCGACAGGTTCCGTCTCGCGCTGGAAGACGGAAACCCAAGATATCTGACAAGTTTGAGAGTTTCTTGTTTTGACAAGCGGGTTCAAGAATGTTGTCTTTCATTTGAATCTAAGCAGCATGCATGGTCAATAAATAGATCGGTCAAAGTAACATTCAGCATATCTGGTCGAAGCGAGTCTTCAAACCTTTCACAAATATTAAAACAATGGTAAAAATTTCCCAACGTCGCCGCGCATTTCTTTTCTTTTTTTTTTTTTTTTTGGGGGGGGGGGGGGCTTTTACTTTACCATTTTACAGAGCCCTTAATTAATTTATGCTCAAAATAATTTTGGCATCCGCGAAATGCTGGGTTTGTCATAAAACTGTGGTCGGAAGTGGCTCATACAGCTCGCCGACAGCTACGGTGTGTTGCGCTACTGTACGCTATGCTTCATTTAGTTGCTACGCTCGGAGTGTGAAACTCGGAACGGTGGAGTACGAGTAAATTAGCGCGGACTTAAGGCACAGGAGCAATGGCGGCTTGCAGGGTGCCATATGATATCACGTGCAAGGCAGTTCAGTCCACACGCTCAACTGAAGTATGCATTCATCTGCCTAGCTTGGTGCCCCATACAAGCAATCTACAATGTTCACTTTTAATTACAGTCGCAATAAAAAAGAAAGAAAACGGCGACTGCTTGTGGCTACGTCGCACTTCGGGATGGTAAAAAATACACACTCACCCGTCAGTTCGAGGATCTCGGCGTCGAAATAGCCTCCTCGAGCGTTCGCGTCGCCGTCCTACGCTCGAAGTCGACCACATTCGAAGGATTGCAGTTTTTAAATAAAGTCCTGTGGACGTCGCTTATTTCTCCGTTCTCGCCAAATCGAGTGAAACCTACCGAAATATCTAAAACCTCGAAAACACTCCACGAGGAAGGGTGAGGCTGCCGAGGCAACAAAGCGCACGAAACAACTGGATTTGGATTTGGATTCGAAGCTTTTGAAGACGCAGTTGCTCGAACGGATATAAGCGGCGAATGTTTTTCAAAATATAAAGTATACATTGAAATTAACGGATCGTCGAGTGTCGAACACTGCGTATGAACTTGAATGAGAACATTTTTGAGAGAAATATGTCAAGTGTCAACACTGCGTGTAAAGAAACTGGCGCCGCAAATAGCCGATGCGTCGGCAGTAGCGGATACAATAAAGACTAACTCATAATTTACGCGACCCTCGACAGTCGTCCGCCCGTGGCGCAGGGTTAGCGCGTCGGCATACGGAACGAGAGGTCGCTGGTTCGAGTCCCCCTTTGGGCGAAGGAAGAAAACGTTTTTTGTGCGAGTTTTTTTTTTTGTGTTTTCTATTTATTTTTATTATATCTATGTGGGTGGCGGTGGTGTTGAAAACTTTAATTTAGTCTAAAACCCATGCGAAGCTGCTTCGTTAACGACCGCCCTGGTCCAAAAGGGTTCTCTACTTCGTTTCAGCTTCGGTCCGAGCGCGGCCGATGTTATAAGCCGAAGGGCCAATCAAACAACGCAAAAAGCGCAGCGTCATGGTGTGCTCTCTGCGCTTGATACGACTAGCCGGCGAAGGAACGCACACAGGGAGACGGCGAATACAGGCTGGTATTGCAGAGAGCACGCCATGACGTTGTGTCTCTTTCGCTGTCTGATTGGCCCTTCGGCTCATAACAGCGGCCGCGCTCGGACCGAAGCTGAAACGAAGTATAGTGCAGCTGAATACTGAATAATGCAGGTTTTTCTACCTTTCATGTCGCCGGTTTTAGTACCTTTCGTGACTCGACGTGTTTCCGCTCAAGAACTTTTAAGGTCGTCTGAATGACGAGACATATAAGGCTTTTCCTTAATAAAAAAAATCACATCAACCCATTGACCACGCGGCTGCGGCCCATCATATATCATAGTCGAGATTCAACGACAGCTTTTTTTATCGCGACATAGCCTCAAATCGCCTATTTTGTAGCGTGCAAAGTTGCGGAGCCTCCTCGACTTTGGGCCGCTCATTCAGCGAGGCGGTGGCGCATTCCCCCGACTATTTAACCTTCGAGCAAAGTAAAGCAAAGCAATGGCCGCGCGGTCTGTTTGGAAGCTGAACTTAATTGCCGCCGCGACCATCCGATGCGCACAACGGTTGCGGGGCTCGGGGGGTGCCGTGTCTATAAAAATTAATGTGTCGACGAAAAGTCTGTCCACCTTCCGTTGGTAATGAAAGGCGTAGATGAAGCATATGCGAAACGATGAATCCTACCGTGAGTACGGGAAATTTCCACGGTGCGTGATTGCAGACGAACGCACAGTTGCCGGTGAATCGGGGACTCAGTGAGTAAAGACAAATCGCGTGACATAGTTGCGTCAGCACCTCGCGAGCCCGCGACTCATCACATGCTGGCAAATATGTCGCGACCCATATATCAATTGTTATTAAACGCCTCTGACGGCGCCGTCAGAATACCGCGAGCAACAATTAATCAAGCACTTTTGATAAACATTGTGCGCAAAGAAAGTCCCGACGGCCGGGAAATAAGGCGCTTTTGATGGAACCGAAGTGAAACATAAAACTTCTGACGACCATTAGACCACCTCTGACAGCCCATCAAGAGTGTCCAACAGACCATTAGGCGCCGTCAGGAACTTCTGACGGACCATCTAAACGCATCTGATGGTCCATCAGGACGGTCGGATAGTGCGTCAAGAATGGGCTGATGGTCCATCAGACTTTCTTGATGGTCCATCAGACCTTCTTGATGGTCCATCAGACCTTCTTGATGGTCCATCAGACCTTCTTGATGGTCCATCAGGAAGCCTGATGGGCCATCAAAGAAGTCTAATGGTCCATCAGGACAGTCGGATGGTGCGTCAAGAATGGGCTGATGGTCCATCAGACTTTCTTGATGGTCCATCAGACCTTCTTGATGGTCCATCAGGAAGCCTGATGGGCCATCAAAGAAGTCTAATGGTCCGTCAGGAATGGGCTGATGGTCCATCAGGAGTGGGCTGATGGTCCATCAGACTTCTTTGATGGTCCATCAGGAAACCTGATGGACCATCAAAAAAGTCTGATGGACCATCAAGAAACTCTGATGGTCCATCAGGAAAACCTGATGGTCTTTTCGATCGGGCTTCGGAGGTTAATGCAGTGAACAAAACGTCTGCCTCTTGCGCAAGAGTGCAGGTGAAGTCAGAACGATGCCCAGCTCTGACTGGATCTTATTGAAGAATAGTGGGAAGACCTCAAAGCAGGCGGCCTTCAGGTGCGCCCGCTATCCTTTATTCAGAGCCAATCGAAGCTCGGAGTCGTTCTGACACCATTACAGCTATGCAAAATAAGCAGACGAACTTCCGCTACCCATGAGAACGCTGTAACTCTGTCGAATGAAACTCTATAACCACAACTTCTTGTATCCCGAAAATTGTAAAAAATTAATTGCAGTTTCTCTGCGGTTTTTGCAGCAGGTGTGACCGACATGCACACTACCTTTGCCCATCTGGAGTCCGCAAGAACCAGCAATCAGTGAGGGTTGCTGTAACCGAAATCCGGATGAATCCTCTTGTCAAGTAGATCACTCCCACGGTGTTATGTAAATTCGCGGCGCTGCGTTTTGAGTTGTTTTACAGCGTGACATTCCACTATGGTCGCGTTAAAGGTGAATGCGTTGCTAAGGGTTTGTGAGCCGTATGGGATTTGTTGATGATGGTCATCCAAAACATGAAATACTAATATGCACAACCCATATGCAGACCAAGGGGATGAGCACAACACCGTCTCTTAACACAGCTCCACATTTTTAATTTGGAGTCTTCTTAATATACAGCAACCAATCCCACTATCGAACAGAACAGTAACCGTCAACCCTCAAGGAAGACAAAGTGAACATGGACGGGTGCACTTTGTCTGCTTATTGATCACAGTATTTATTGCTTTATTCGCCCTGCTCATGCACATGTGTGAATGTGCTGTTTCTAGCTTTTAAAACATCACACGCACGCTCGAAATCTTTGAAACTAGGGAGAAGCGCGAATACAGGTGCTCGATAAAAGCTACCGGGAATTAGATATAATGAGAAGAGATATATTTCATAGCCCGCATACTTTATGCCCTATCTTCCTCTCTTTTCTTTTTTTTTTTTTAAAGCGCAGCTGTAAGGCGTTCATTTCTGGCGTGAGCGATGTCCCTTTCGCCGTCGCCATCGCCGTCGGCGTAACCGCCCGTTGCTTTATGGGAAACGCCCTATGTTGAAACGCGCGGGTCTCTCCCTTGATCCGCGCGTTGCATTATCGGACGTTTCAAATAATGACGTCACCGTGACGTCACGACGGACGTCACAAGTGTCCAGCGCGTTGCATTATGGGAAATGTCCCACGGTGACGTCACGTGTGACGTCACGGTCACTCGTAAAGATCATGACAAAGGTCACGACGTTTACTTCACGAGGACTTCAACGAGTGACGTCACGAGGGGGCAGGCAGAGATGAGGAGGACAAGGGGGAGGTGGAGGAAAAAAGAGAGAGGAGGAGGGAGGAGGAGGAGGGCAGGGGAGGAGGAGGAGGCGAGAAGGAGAAGAGGATACAGAGGAGGAGGAGCGGCCTACAATCATCTCCGTACCCTCCCCTCCTCCTCAAGAGTAGCGCTCTAATTCGGAATTAGACGTAGTTGTAAGCGCCTTTCATTTTTTTTAACAATTTACAAAGTTGCATGACGGGGTCATTTTTATATAGTAAGATGACTGGTATGTTAGTAATTAATAACCGTCATCAAAATGCCGAAAAATTGAACATAATCTACATACGCTTCTGTGGTTATTTTGCCTAAATTCGTCGCTTGTTTGAGCTGGCTGAGTTCTGGAGCAGTAACCATGTAGCAATCTCAGCCTTGGGGTTCGTAAACGATATTTTAGCCGCATTGGAATGAATGAATATGGAATTGCGGAGCTTAGCCTCATCATCCCATTTATTGCGAAGGCATACTCGCTGGTAGACGTCCAGCGATTCTTCCCACGTCATCTTCAAGGATTCCAGAAGATCCTTACGATGTCGGACCTGGCTGGGAACAGGGCAGGCTGCAGCGGCTGGAGCGCCCGTGGAGGATTGTCTATTGGAGCTCATCGCAGTCGACAGTCGTCGATGTCGAAGCTTCAGAATGCAATGAACTTCTCTTCAGGGACGCAGGTACTCCGCCAGACCTCAATCAAAGAATGTGAGGAAGACGCAGACTGGGCGACCATTCTCAACGGTGTTCATATTCACACTTGCCTGCACTGCCCGATCGAGCCACGCGAACACGTATTTAGTTTTTTTGGGTCGCCATATTTAAACTGGGACGTTCTCAAGTGCACAATAAACAGAATATTTTTAGTTGTACACGGAAGATCCGGTTCGTAGATATTTACTTTGGTGTTCCCCATGACATGCTAATGTTGCTAGGATTGTCTAGATCTTCAGGGACAAATTCCTGTCCCCCACGCTGATATCGAAGTACAGTAACTGCATGTTGATTTCCGTACATTTGTACTTCAAGTGTAAAGCCTGTACCAAGCCGTTTAACATGCACACAAATGGACAATTATTTTTAAAGCCCTCCTCTAAATGTGAGGTTTTTTTTCATATTTCTACCAAAATACTTGGTGCATTTTTTCATCGCGCATCTAAAGGCACAAAAAAGTGAGTAACATTCATTCACTCCCCAAACATTAAGAAAACAAATAAAAGTAAGCTTCCGATGACGCCGAACAAAAACGTTTGGGCTGCAGTTCGCAAGGTCTAGAGTTTTAATCTCACTGAGCAGCTTGGTAGATTTCTTTCTTTTTAAATTAGCGTGATCGTGAGTTCGTATAATATATCACGACTACTACTTTTTTCTTCGATGAAAACGCATTTCCTACGATGGGCTTTGCATGCTTTACGTTAACTCGACTTGTGTGTAACAATTGTTACTTACACTCGGGTCCGACATTTTTTGCATGAACTCCAGCCCATGAACATTATCTGTTAAAAGTCATCATCGGTGTAAGAATGCTGTTGTAAATCTAGAGGCAACTTGTGAGCCGATGACAGTTCCCCTGCCGATTGAACATACTATTAGGAA